TATGTTTCGGCATCATCTAGCCCCATTGGCCCAGAAGTTCAACTGTCGACCCGAAAACACCTCGCCGATATTTACCCACCGGCTTTAATGTAAAGCTTCCGTTTTTTATTTACTTAACCGGAGTGTGAATAAAAACGCCGACGCAGTTCATCCCTGCGGTTTACCTAACGTCTGTTCAAGATAACAATAAAATTTTCCGTTTTCCTGACCCACCTCCATGCTACATATTTTCCCTCGAATAAACTGACGTTTGCTGCGACCATAGCTGGTCTACAGCGCCAATTTGAACTACTTTACTGTTTTGGAGTACTGTTATTTCAAAACAGTAGAAGTTCGTCGACGGCTGAATAGTAACTTGTTGGTCTTTCACCGCACAGATCTCGCCGACATTTGCGTTTTCGCTTTCCCGATGCCTACAAACTGGCGGATTATTGGACCTCAAATTTGCTCTAACGCTTCTGCTGCGGTAGTCAGAGCTATCGTCGAGGGCAGGTAGGAGACGCGTCACCTTTGGCGCCGCTATGGTGCGATTTATTCGATGGCGTTCAAGCGAGACCCACTGCGCTCACTTGGCATATTATCTATTTCCCTGATAGTAGCAGTGTCAGTGATTTCGTTGTTGCTGTTGTTAACCGTTGCGCCCAAATTGGCATTCCAAGCAAAAATAACCCTCTGAGCCCGATCTTCAACGAAACGTGATTGCAGTCCACAACACAGGCTTTATACGACTGGAGTAAAGATGTCGAAGAGCGTCGTGGCAACAATCTTCCCTACGCTTGGAGCGTATTGCCGTCGGCATCCAGAGCTGCCGCGCGTTGAGATCGTGGCCGCTGATAAGGCAACCCGTCTGTTCTTTTGAACAAGAACTACGTTGCGTTCGGACCGATTTGCAAATGAAGAAGCGCAGATGAAGTGAAGAACTGATCGCCAGCTAATGCGCGTTAATTCAAAAAAAGGCGGCATGTTTCTGTACAGAAACATGAGTGCATGCGCAGTTCGGAAATAGCTTTCGGCTGCTGGGAAACAGAATAAATGCACTGGAGGTTAGGCAGGTAGTACACCGCTTCCGTAGCAGTAATGCTCGCAGCAAGACCCTCACAGACTCCAGATTTTCAGTTGCGAGGTACTCGGCGTACTCGAAGCCCGGAGAAGGGTCAAAAATCTCTAAATACACTAATTCAGGAGAGAACGGCCACAAAAATGGAAGAAAGAAGACCTTGAGAAGACTTTCGCGAAGATGGCTGAGTTTTTTTCTTATTGATTTAGTCGTTTAGATAATTAGCTATGATCTGAAGATTTTCTACGATAATTGTTTTTATCATTGCATCCTCCACAGGGATGGGACTCTTAATTACACAAGATTGATTCCGAAGCCTTTAACTATGGCATATGAGGTAATTTGAATTTTACAATTGTCGGGGATCGACACCTGAGTTATTCATTCATTTCAGAGCTGGCCTTAACACACACATCTGTTTACTTTTCGGTTATACGGTACATACGATATGCTACTTGATGCTACAATTTAAAATAATCTTTAAAGCAAATACTAAATAATTGTAAACCCTCAAATAATAAATAAGCTTGTAATTTTTAACAAAATAGGGATTTAGATTTCTCAGACGGACTAATAATTACTGATATGATATAATTCATTAAACAGCGAGTTCATATATGTGTATGGATATCAAGTTGGTGCGGAAAGTAACTTCGACACTTTTAGACTGTGAAAACTTGACGCCTTTACTCTGAGAGCTTTTCTAGAGTTGTAGAAAAATTTGCATCTTGCCTAGGTTTGTTAGTAGCGGATTTTTTTGCTATTAAATCATGAAACTAACGAATTGCTCCTTACTGTTTATCTTAAATCACCACCAGAGGAAACGCAGCTGAAAAACGAGGGTTATGTGCGACACTGAATACAAATGGGCAGTACCTGAACGCACTTGTGAAAAGGGTTGGTTCAAAAGAGTTGGTTCGGAATTTGGAATATGGATTCGAACTTATTACCGCTACGGTTAAACGGGCAGGGCTCAACTCAAGGCTGTCTTGCATCAAAGATCAATCCAGCTTGGGCTAATCAGCACACTGAAAAACTGTTTGCCCAGCGAAGATTTAGCCACCGATCTGGCCTGAACTACAGCCTGCACTTTTAAATGAGGACATTTTAAAGGCAAGAAAGTACGTCTTACGCGAAATCTCGGTACCAAAGGATTGAACGTATGTATATCGCTGCTCGAATGGTGTGATCGAAATCGGGAAAGGGAGATATGTGCCTTACGACAACCTTTAAGGACAGCTTAACGTTAGGATTATGGATTACCTATGTACGGCATTACAATAGAACTTACAGAATTTGGTAGTATCTAAAGGAGATAGTTTTCTAACAATAATGAAACTATGAACCCGAACTACAACTTGGCTGTATGCGTCGTAGTCTGTCAAATACATGGCAGTATAAAGGTTCTACGGCGCCCAGAGTCGTCATACTGTAGCACAACACTGAAAAATACCGAATGACGAAATTACGTTTTGGTCCACAGAATATAACACTACATAATTAAAAATTATTATAGACCAGTTATAAGCCTAAGACTTTTCGGTATATGGAAACGTTTTCTTGTACTGTTATATTTTATTATCAAACATATAACCCGTTATCCTGTGAGTAGACGATTCATTGAAAAAATTAGAACTGGATGTTTAAAGATTAAACGTTTCGATTTATCTCAGGAATTGCATTGGTATGGCTTTAAATAAAGTTACAGGTCTACAACTTGTCAATCTTGTCGGGATTCTGTTACACGATTTTCTATTCAGATCCCCTTGAATACTTTTCTTCTAAGCAAGCTGCTTATAACGCTATCCATCTTCAGTCTGGTTCTTCGTGGCGGTAACAGCAGGTTCCAGATCCACTACCAGACTCATCGATGAGAATTTCCTGCTGTTGCGTGTTCATTGAAGCTTCACTGTTCCCCTATACGATGCAATGAGATTCGCGATCACGTGCATCTCACTCTGCGAGTTACCTACGAAGCATTCGCTCTATTTAAATCTTGGATGCCATTGGCATCGAACTATGTCCTGACACAAAAATGAGACACGTTGCAGGCCATCGAAACGTTTGTTTCATCCTCAACTAAAGGCTAGGTGGGCAGCTGCAATCTGCGTGAACTCCAATATTACTAATGGCATTACTAATTCGCCCAAAAACGAGAGTAACGTGTTGAACCAGAGGGCCTTGTATTACGATGAAGAATGCCCTTCGGAAATCCTAGGTGATAGTAAACACGACTTTATTCAGTATCGGATCGTGTGAAAATCTGACAGATTGAAGAGGAATAAATGCGAATGTACTCCCAGATCCCACCCATAGCTTTTCAGCTTCGCCCGTCATTCGTTTCGCAACATTTGCTTTAATGGAGTTTGCGATTCAGTCTTTCACTGGGGGGGCAATGCTTCAAGTCGGTGCGTTACGCCTGGGTTATCATCATCTGCTCCGATGGATATCTTTCTAGCTCCGACGAATGGGTGAAAAGTTCCGTGTCTAGTTTATGCTGCTCTTTTCATGTAAATATTTTCGTGGCGAGCTATCATCCCGTTTACCCGATTCAGGTAAAACCTCTCCGCAAGACTGTTTGAGGAAAATCGATAAGGTCACGTTGAATGTCAGTACACTGAGAAGTACCGATACTGATTTAAGTTACTACCATATTTGCACTGTCATCTTCAGCTTGAAGTTACCGATACAAAAATAAGTGCGCTATAAGTGGGCTAATTCATTAGTTGAATAGCCTGACCGATGGTTGAAAAATTTCAAATCGGAACGCGGCGCGTTGAAAAATCGCTGCGTATATACTGCAAACAGTATTGGTCCCGTCGTATATATTAAACAGTTTCTTAGTCACCGTGGCCCAAGCCACAATATTATATAGGAAAAACGCGACTTATAATAAAACTGAGGAATCTCACGCTTTAGTCGCTGGGTGTTTATAGCTATCTCTGCCTGAAGATGTAGAACGCTTGTTTGCACCATTATTGAATACGACCTGCTCGGCGATGAGGTGTCAACTGATATCATGCTACTTCCCAGTAATTAAATCACAGGTATTACGGTAAACGAACACTCCGTAAGCGCAAATATCAATGCTCAAGGTCAATATGTGGATCGAGAAAAATTCCTTTCTTTTTCTGTAGAACCCGTTTTTAAGGCCTCGTTACTGACGTATCTGCTTCAAGCCAACGACACCAGAGCTGGTCTATCAGCTAGCGTCCATCTTCTTACTGGGTGGTGGACAAACGCCTCACAACACTCGCTTTGATGATGTCGCTTAACTCGGTCAGCTTCTGCCCATAGATGGCCCCGGATGTTATTCTTCAGAAGCTTCTATTTAGTCGGCAGCCGAAATCGTTATCTTTTACTTCGTCGCCGACAATGATCGGCAATCGAGAGTTAGGTTGCTTGAAATTACTGCGCGAACTATATAAAAGAAACTATATGTACGGCATACGCGAACTATATACATATATGTGATACAGCAATAAGTGCGCCTCAGCAAATATTTAGAAGAGAAAATAGTACGTGTAGAAAAAAAAGCCATTTTCCTAAGGTAAACTGGTTCATCGAAGTTTATTCTATTAAGTTGAAACGTCATGAAATTACTCGTCCACAGGTGGATCAGTAAGAAGAAAAGACGCATATATAGTGGAAACTTCCTAAGGGAACTCTCTGATAGCCGCACTAGCACTTGCCAACAATAAAGGTCGTAAAAATAATACGTTACTATACATAATTTAGCACAGTTGGCTCATTATTGACTTTAAAAAAAGAAAAGCCGCAATTTCATTGGTATACACAGCGAATTTTAATACTTTATATGTTGCCGAAAAAAGATCACCTCAATTATATGTCAAATATTTAATCATTTAGGAATAGGCATCGACCTAGAACTGACAAAAAACAGGAAATCATCCTATTAGTATTGCGGCCCCCCGCTCTACGTGCAAACCTTGTGACCGCATGTAGAAGATATTTCTTCTCAAACAGATAGCTGGCTCGATCATTACCGAAATATCAGGTAAGACGGAAATAAAAACGGGCCTTATTTTAAACATATAGGTTTTCCTAGTTTCGGGGGTATGCTGTTCGGGTCAATAATTTTTCCGTGCCTTACATGATTTCTTGAAAATTAAGACTTTGCAGATATTTCAATTAGACCCGGATGCATCAGTGTCTCATAGCAGGAAAACATTTTTACTAGCGTGGTACTGCTGATCTGCCTAAAGCTAAAAAGCATCTAATGACTATCTAAAGAAAGTGAAATTCAGTATTTTCATTTTTCTATTGAAAATTGTAGCGCAGCTTGTTTATTTTTTGCCGATTTTTTTGGCATAGAGTATGACCAGCTGATTTTTAACATAGCAAAACCACATTCTACTGATTCCGATTTAGACAAAATAGGTGATATGACACTTCATCCAACGGTCTGCATTGGCTTCGAAGGCAACAACTTAAAAGGCGCTGTGTTTTACTTGCGAACTTTAACCACTGTAGTCTGAATGATCAGAGGATTGCCGTTATCTTCTGTACGATACATGTAGAACGAAAGTCAGCCCGCTAAGGGAAGTGTGCGTCCGCGGACTTTTACGCCAGCCGATATTCGCTGACTTTGGAACGCTTCCTATTCATTGCTTAACTAAGCACGGTGATACGATGACGGGATACCAGTTTAAAATATGTGACACCTTAAACGATTCGAATGCCACCACCGTACCCGATAGAAGATGCAACATAGGACAAGGGATTTAATGTACATATACATAAATATATATATATATATATATATACACTATTCTATAGTAGAATTGATATATTTAGGATAGGTTATGCAATTTTAAATTATATAGGTACTAAAGTCAAAAATATAAATACTATTAATCGAGTACAAATATCATGATCTGCAATATATTAGGTCCAACTAGGTTTCTTTACAAGAAGCGACTGCCTTTTATCACTGGCGTTTTTCTCGTTCCGGCTTCACAACGCACCGCAACCCATCTTCAACGTATTCCTATTATAAAATATTCTCACTTTTGCTCACGATCTTATTCGAATCCAAGAATCTACCTATCCGGCCCATGATTTACTATTAAGCAGTAATTACTTGATATCGGCACGGTGTAGCGTCACGCTTATTCGAGTTATCGAGAAGCGGAGAACGATCCCGCTATTCATTTTGAACTCATTGATATTGCTCACATATGTATCGTTATGTGTGTGTGTTTGTGTGTGTGTGTCTGTGTATTTTTACTTGTGATTTTCAGCCTGCCTATCTGCCATCACGGATCCATTATGTTAGGTCACCGTAACCAAGGCTTCGAGTCAATGCCACCTCGAGTTTGTCTGTTCGTTATCTGCATGATTGTACCGCTGCTAGTTCAAAGAGCCGAGACGCAATTTCGACCTCGGGGGCCGTTCCTGTCAGAACCCCAATTCGAACAAGGATATTATTCGTTTATAAAGGTATTTGCCTCTTAATTACTCTGTTACTAGTCCTGACATTATACATGCATTTACTGCAGTAGAAGTTCCAGTCTTACAAAGTGTCACCCGCTGAACTCTAATGTTATATCACAATAAAATGTAATCTTTATTATCGTGATTCGTCTAGCGGACGAGCGTGTGGTTCTACGTATTTTGACGTTAACGTTCACGATGTAGTGTTCAGTGTAAACGTCGGTTTCCATTAATTACCTTTTGCAGTCAGCTAGGGAGAACATTATATAAGCTCAGACTACTTCGACTGGTTATCGATGGCTTTACAGACGGTGAATAGCACGTCCTGCTCATTCAGTTATTGTGAAGAGATTCTTAGTCTGCTCACGAGCAGATCGTCTAGTCGTCAATTCATTACTTGGATATATATATATATATACATATATATATTCTCATTTATATTCGCTTGTTCCATTATGCGAACGATAACTTCAACTTATCCGGACACGTTTTTCGCCTGTCTGCCGGAACATCTTTTTGATTTTTAGCAAAACACAATGATAAAGTGTTATGCTAGTTATAGCTGGTTTCTCTTCACGTGTCGACAAGTATCGCAGTAAACGCGTCTTCTATTTAACTTTCGTCAGCAGCAGTGGCTTCTGGTTCCGTGCTTCACTCATTTAACTTATCATGTCGAGGAGCGATCTTCGCCAACTGATGATCGAGTGACGATTGCAAATGTCCTTTTTCCCCTTCGTAATGTTACCCAGAGGTACAACTGTATAGCTGACTCGACCTATTTATGTTTTAGAATTTTGTATTCAGTTAATTTATCGTAATTCAATTAATTTGGTCCTATTAAGTCCATCTCGATATCACAGATTTTGATGTGGTACATCCTTTTTATCAGTAAAAACGCGCATCTCTACTTAGAACTCAATTCGAAAAGTTTTAACACGGGGTATTAAGATTATTGGAAGAAAATAAACTATAATAGATATACGGGAACACTAAAATCTGTTTTTATTCTTCTCCGATAATAATTTTTCTGGAATATATGATAGATATTATTTCATTAACTGCTTTCTATGTTTTACACCGAATTAGCACAGCCACGTGAGTTTCTTATGCCTGATATAACACCACCTTTAATGTACGATACTTTTGTTACTGATAACTTTGCAGGCTAAAGATCACGAGCACCCTCCAAAGGTCCGCAAACCCCCGTACCATCGAGCTAGTTTTCGATGCAGTGAGAGACTTGTTGACGGCAAATTATCTCCTAGAGACACGCTCTGCGGCGATCTTAACAAAGGTGTCATACCCATTAATCCAATGGGTCAACGACCAATCAACGATCCTTATCCCTTGTGAGTCGAGCTATTATATTGTATTTTTTTGCTAACAGACGGCTAAATGAGGTGACACGTATGCGACACAGGCATAGGGTCCATCAATTTATCACGTTACTAGCGCTTCTGTTCAGTGACTATTGAGTAATAATGGAAGCAAGACAGCAGAACGGTTGGGGAACACCCCAGCTAAGATGAAATTCGCCTTCTGTTTTAATCTGTTAGCAGTATGACAACAGGCAATTGGTATCATGGACGGGATACGTTGACTATACGTGTTCATCGGTTACTAGAGGAAACACCCTTGTGTGAATACAGAGGCAGTTCGTGTAAGTCAAGATAGACTTACCAGTTTGAAAATTGTTTCATTATTAAACTGCAAAATGAGAAGGAGAACATGTCGAAGATGCCTGATTGAACTTACGTATATAATTGTCTAAAATGCAGATAGAGAAACGTCACTAACGCCCCCTCTCGCAAATTTTTAGCTAGGTAAGCTCATTTAGCTCGTTAACAATTAGTCCAGCTCATGCTCTACTCCATATTTAATTGTCATTTGACGTTTGAATACTTGATTGAGCGTCCAAAGTTAACTGTGATTCGTCTGCGTCAGTGAGATTTGCGTTGATCTAATGGAAGACAACTGTAAATATGCACGTCAGCGCAAGCACAGAGTCCGTAGTCCTGCGGATACCTTCTGTTAGGGACCCTTCATAATACCTGTTCAAGGATTTTAACAGGAGGTGCTTAGCGTGGGCAAACTTCGACACGACCCAGCTAAACAGATTTTGTGTGTCCTCGTGAGATGGCGTATCGGTAAGGCGTTTGCCTGTTAAACATAGAAACAGGTAAGGTTGTCTTGGTTCGAGACAGGCACGGGGCCCGTTCCGCGCTACTGAAAGAGGCCTTTGGCAGTGAGAAGCGGCAACACAGAAAAAACTCACTTGTGGGATCGGACCTACAATTCGAAACATGTAGTTAGGTAGATTTCGTCTAGATATTGCATCGCTGAAGAGAAGAGCTCAGACATAACCTAATGCTCTTTAGTTCTTTAATATGATATGGGCAAAATCTAATTTAGTTTTAATCCTCAACAAATGGCGAGCGTTTCACTCAATTTGGACACTTACAGGGCATTCTGGTGTTCAACACGTTGGAGCCTGGCTACAACACTTCTGCCACAGGCAACCCAATGCTTTTCATCAAAATGACAGATCTGATTCATCTCTAGTAACTCGCAAACGTTCGTTCTTTCATTTTGCAGCCTGTGTTCCGTGATGAGTCAACTACAGCGACAGCGATCTGGGTCTTCCGCGGCGATGCTGAACGCCCTGTCGGGCTTGCTTAATCTTGCGGCAACGCCACAAATCTCCAATAAGGTTATTGTAGCAGCTTGCTCTGCGGCGACAGCTGTCTTAAGGGATACTTTTTTCTAGTGTAGTTGGCGATCGGATTTTTTTAAGAAGGTTGTCTTTTTCGAAAAAGGGCAAAATGATACAAAATGAAAATGAACGACAATTCGTGGAGCCCGCTGCTCGGCCGTAAGCTGATAACTTTGGTGTGGCAGAATTGTACTTGACTTGCGTGATACCCGATGTTACCCGAATAAAACTGGAAAACACCCTAACGGGATACATACATTTTTTGAATAACGTAAAACGAATTTCACGAAGCTAATATTAACAATGATGTTTGTTAGATGACGCTATATGTTGATTTTATATTTATATCTATATACAGACCATATCAGTGAGAACCTTTTAGTGAAACTCAGGAACTTAGCACACCATAAAGGGATTCAGAAACTGAGTTATTATTATTAAGAAACCTGTCGTCTATCAACCTGCGAAGCATTCGAAGGTTCGAGGATAAAAGTAACCGGATGGTTGCTTTTATCATCGAAGATCCGCGCGTATCAACTTCGTTGTTTATTTAAAAGACAATACCTACACCGAACATATACACTGGATGCAAAGTCACACAATCCTGATACCCGCTGCAAATTCAACCTAAAGTAAGCTTAAACTTTTTTCGTCCTAAGACAAGTTATCCTATCGCATGAGCTCCTCCTCTCTATGAATAATTTTCTATTCATACTTCGTATCAGTAAGGTCACTAGGTTACGGGATCCTATTAAGTAGTTTAATCGGACTGCTTCACTACCTTGCTCCTTTTTTTCAGTTAGCAGAACTCAGATATACCCCTTTAGCAATCTAGACATCTTCTAATCTTGTAACGGAGGTCAGATTGTCACACGGTAATTATTCCATGCTCCATTGCTATAACAAAACTCTAACTACTTGTGCCGTCGTTCTCTCCCTCTATCTTAAACTCAAGTTTCAAGTGAAGTTGAGGGCGGTTAGGATAGGAAAACTCGGCATTCACTTCAAACTTAACTTACATTCCTGGTATTTCACCTCGCTAAAACCTATTGTACGATCTACTTCGTCTATGCAGTAATGGGATAAAAACGTACTTCCCAGGGAGAGTTTTAAATGGTTTTTCAGTGAACTTCTGTAAATGTTTATTATACCTTCATTCAGTGCATAATGCGCTTTTGATTAATAAACCCGAGTCAATATATTACACGTAAAATTCATGAAGATGTAAATTCAGGCTACAATAAATAAGTGCAGGGCTTTCAGGAGCAGAATCAGTATTCCTATAATAAGTAAATTATTACTTAGTATTCCAATAGCAAGTAAATTTAATCAATATTTTTTATATATATATATATATATTAGCAATTTTTTTAGATAAAAAATCTAAAAGCCCTGTTGATATTTTTATCATCAAATCAATCGAAAAATATCAAATCGTCATAAAATGTTTTTGTTTAGCATTTAATAACGACATTATTAATGTTAATAATAAAGCTTTGCCAAATGTCTAATGGAGCTATTGAGTCTAACACAGTGACCCATATTCTGTAAAGCTTAATGTTCCTTTATATTCTTGTGGGTCTCTCTCTGTGTGTTGTGTATTCCACGCCCCCGCCCAGCAGGTACAAAATCCGGAACCATCAAGCGGCAGTCCATCGACAACTACCAACCTTCTAAATGTACTAAGTTATGCGGGCGACATTTTGAACGCAGTCAACCATGATTCAACAACGGCCGCGCCTGTCGTCACAAGGTGCGTGTTTGCCACTGCTCTCCTGCTTCCTATTTACCCATTAATCAGATCTGTCATGCCGATTGTCCGCGGTCTTTCTACATAACACTTTCCCATTCCAGATACACAGAGCGGAACAACGTATACTGCATTCCTACATATATATATATATGCATTCAATTGATTGGACATAGGTTATCGGATAAAATGGGTCGTGACAGAGTACTGTTGTAAAATTTTAAAATACAAGCGTTCTGTCAAAGAAAACGCTAACAGACCAATCTGGTTTATCATGAAACGGAATAGGAAGAAGGACAAACACCCAAGAGCAAACTGATCTATTCAAAACGATAGGTAATTGTATAAGGCCTATTCCGTCTTCGCGGTTCGAAACTACAATCAAAAATTAAGCATGTCTCTCTGAACAAAACAACTAGTTTTCCTGAGCACAACAATTACTATGTCACTAAAAAAAAAGATCATCTTTATACGAAGCAACGACCAAACCAACTTAGACATGTAAGTTCTTTAGGAAAAGCCACTATTACTCTGCCCTAATCTCTATTTGTGCATGCTTCATAGTTATGCGTAATTATTATCACGTAAGGCCAGGTCTCAGTTTAAGACCGCATCAGTTACGTTGCTAAACGTGTGTTTTAAAATGTTTCTAGCAGGTAATATCGTCTGCGGAAATAAAAACTGCTAGACTCAACACGGGTGTTGTAATAATAATAAACGAGGGTGTTACCGTCCAGTTCAGTATTTCAGTATTCAGAACCCCGGGAGGGGCTATATGGCGGGGATAAAAGGCTGACAAAAGGAGCTGTTTTCATGTTTCTCCCGTTGACTCTATCTTTTGGGGAGAACGCCACGCTAACTGATTCACAATTTAAAATTCAAGTGCGAATATTACGACTGTCCTTAGTCTGACGACTTTTCAGGAAGATATGTGTATTTTGCAACTTATTACTAAGCTATGTTTCCTATTATGGCCGTGTCTAATTGTAGATCATAGACGATGTGCTAGGCCCTACAAGGAATATCGTAATTAATTCAACTGTTACATTCGGCCTTTAACAGTAACTACGCCTTACGCTTTCTTTCACGTCTCCCTTTGCCTACAGTGACAGCAGCCTGAAAGGGCATTCGTTAGCGCTTTTGCTCTGCCTTGTATTGTGATGAGAACAATGATGAAATTATAAATGGAAATTTGCGCTCTTTTAATGAAAAACGAAAACATTCGAATCATTCGTTAATGCAGGAGGTCTTATATGTTCGTTCGATTCTGTGACGATTGTACAGGGTAACCAAATTGTTTGCGGAACCACAGCCGCGCTGCTTCGGCCTATTTCAGTCCTTTTCCTGAGGTTGTATAGGACGGCGCAGCAGGCATCTTACATGCAGACGATCGATACATTCAAGTGCATTTCTTTTATTCTCTGTACGTGTAGATATGTTTGTGGTTTCATATCCTCCTGCTAAGCGCTATTATCCATAAATAATGTTACGGCATGGTATTTATATGGGAAACGAATGGATTCTTAGACCGTTCTTTCTCTTCTCCCTAAATATGTCGACGCGTGCCACCGCGTCTGATACCCTCAGCTACGCCAAAGTTTTCGCTCAGCCAGGCGTCTATAGTGTTACTTTCCAGCACCGCATGCTTTGTCATTATGGTTTTGTAGTAAGAAAGTGTTTACCTACTAAGGTTAAGAATAATTAGAACTGAAAGGCGAGGGTCTAGGTTTGAGGCTCACAGGGTTTATTTAGTGCCTGAAAGAGGCCAGCTGCCTGAATCAATAATACTTAAGTAATATCCGACGGAGAACCATTTCAATACAATGTGCTCTATTGTCTTCGGCTATATTCCGTGCATAACGCAGCATACTTGTGTGCCTGTTTCTAAATGTGGACGAGATTTTTGTGAGGTATCCGCGCACGTACCATTGCTACAGTTGAGCTTACTCTGCTATTGCAGTGCACGTAAGCCTTGCGCGCTGTCGTCATCGTGCTATTGGCCTGTCTTGCTAGGCGTGTTTTATCCATCATCTTATTTTAATGGTAGCGTTTTGTCTTTTTGTATAGCCGCCGTCCAATAAACATGAAGAACTTTGGACCTGGCTTCCGGTCCCCGGTAGCAGAACCCGTGTTCATTTACATATTTTTCTGTAGGCTCTGTGATTTTCTAGTTTTTTTTTGCGCCACTTCGACTTGCTGCCAGCGATTTCTACCGGCGTCAATGTGGTCCTGGGCCGTCCTTCTTGTCACATCATATTTGTCTTGCCAAGAAATCCAATTATAACTTCTGTACATGTTAAGAAGGACGCACCTAACGGACGCTTTCGTGCTTTACTGCCATTCATTTTGATCGGTACCTTGAGTTGACGTTTAAAGCGTTTCAAAATTGGTAGTGGAACATCTCTAAGTATAATTTTAAACGTCTTCTTAATAGGGATAAAAATCTTAGTATATTTGGTGTCTATGGACAATCTTGTATCCTGGCCCAGCACTAACTGTAGGCTTACCTAAAGATGCTATTTTATCGCTTTTACACGTTTTATGTGCATCATTTACCGAATAGACCGTTACAATGAAAGTTAGAATTAAAAGCGATAGGGAGCGAGTTGACATTACGGCACTGAACTTTGTTATCCTTTTGCCTGATCACGCTTTATACGTAATAACCCAAGCCTGGGCTGTCAGATGACAGCGGGCTTTTGTGCCAGATAGTGCTCACATACTCAGCCAGTTAGACAGTCCTGCACTAACTAGTCTTAAACACACAAAGGCTATTTGATAAAGTAACGGTAGACGATACCGCCATCTTCTTTGGATAGTCTAAATAAGCGAGTTTTTCTTAGAAGCCTCTGATCCTTGGTGGATTGAAGCTGCTTGTGAATTCTGAAGATTATTTAAGATTCTTGGTTTACGAATACACCCTTCTGAAAAAAGCTTGGTTATATAGTGTATTCTTCATTGGACACGACGTTCAGAACGCGGAAGTTAGCTAGAAATTCTCGCGAGACCGCAAGAAAATCCGCGATTGTTCCTGCAATTGATCTTTGCATCGGCGGCGAGCATTTTTTGTATCGGTGGAAAATCGTAGACAGTTCATTGCCATGCTTTGAAGGGACTTTAGGTCCAATAGCGACTCCTAGCTTCGTTGTTTCTAAAAAGCTTTTACCTCACTGCGATGATATACATTTCGTGCGTGCACCGTTCGTGAATAATTTCGATCTAGAAGCCGTAGATTAAACTGTTGAAGTGCTCACCGAGAAACTAGATTTGTCAGAAAATCCTTTTTGCGCTTTTTCAGTCAGCTGTGGAGTCCATTCGGTAGTTATCCAGTCGTGTTCTTTGTCGTCAGAAGTACATATATCTATTGCTGTTGCCCTTCGTGCTATTGGTAACGCGGGAAACACTCAATTTTGGCCAATGAAGCAAGTTAAAGGACTCAAGAAAGTTCATCATTTTGCCTGTGAAGAGTACATCCGATGCAAAGATAATGAATGGCAGCTGACTTTCGCTCATATTGTAAAAAAGGACACCCAATATCGACCATGTTGGTTTCGTCATTTTGTTATAGAAAGAAGAAAATTTCTTCCATATGAACGCATCCCGACTAGATAACGAACGTAGCGCAAAAGTTAGTCCTGATATATATATATATATATATATAACTCGTACCATGTAAACCTAATGACGATAATAGTAGTAGTAATCTAGCAAACACGTGCATTCTCTGCAATGATGAAACTTATCTTGACTCGGGCTATTCGTGTGTGTAACTGATAGGTCTCCGTTGAGCCAAGTGCTCTCAGCGCTCACAGGTGCGAGCGGAGCGAGCTCGGCAAACCCCTCACCAATTGTTCAGGTCCTCGATTTCATGACATCCGAATCTTCACCAGTAAAACTTCTTGCCAATATGTATACCAACAGGTAGGCAATCTCAATCCGGCTAACACTTGTTTAAGTAGACGGCTACTTACAACAACTATAGATCTCTATCTAATAATCATCCGATACGAAACACGTAGTAGTTTAAGCAAGTCCCTAACACTCTACCAAAGAGGTGATTCTGAGAATTCCTTCACACAATAAACACAGCCGAATGTGTCGCGTAAAAATAAAATATCTTTAAAAAAAGGAACACAAAAAAGCACTTGTAAGTTACACAAGGAAATACTTGAAAAATATTTTTTTAAGTGATTGCTAAAAATGATAAAACAAAACGTTTTTGTTTTTAAGAGCAACATTGCCTTATTCCATAGACATGAACACAGATTAATTCCAAGAACTTCCCAGATAGATTAAGTAGTTTTTAGATGCTCATATTTTTAAAGATAAGCGAGCAGTAGAAAAGGTACGATTAACAATCTGCGCTTCGTGTAACGCCATAGAGCCTCCGCTGTAGCCTGGATGGCTAAAGTTTAGGTTGAAAGACGCAGTGTCGGTGGTCACGGTTCGAAACCCAACATCAACACGTAACACACAACATGTATGGTTAAGTAAATTATGTGTGCTTAGATAGAGAATAACGCTTCTATTCCAAATCGATATTTTTCTGTGATTTCAATTCGATTTACCCGCAATTAACAGTAACCGCTATAAAAAGCAATCCGATGAGTCTATTGAGAAGGTGTACGTTAAGGGTGACAAGCCTGAGCAGGCTTCTCGTAGCGGAAGTTCTCTGCCACCGACGCCCTGTCCGTCGATGGAGGAATACGTTACCCCAGTATACGCCCGAAACTATCAGGGCGTATGGAAATACGTGGTCCAAATTCCGCAAGAAGGATACCTAACACAAACTATCCAGCAAACAACCTGCATGTGAGTGATGGAAATGTTCAGTGTCTTTTAAGTAAAAAATGTTTTTGAATAAACTAAAAAAGTCTATGTTAATTTTAATTTTTGAAACAAGGCAAATGATTTATCCGTCATTTGAAATAATTGATAGCTAGTGCTCGGTATGTAGCTGATAGTTCTATTTTAATGGGGAAGCAATTTATTGTACAGCTAGAATAAAAAAACGTATTGAAAAGAAAAAATATAGCATGCGTTTTAGTTACATCTACACGTTACTTTTGACTGTTTCAATAACCATTATAACTATATAAAGTAACAACTGTACGCTATATTTTTACTGCGTAAACTCTTTCATTATATATTTTATTGAATGGCCTTGGTAAAATTATAACGCGTACCTTGCCCACCCACCTGCTGTCAGTAAAACCGCTTGAAATGTGAACTAACATCAGTGATTTAAGCGAATCTATCTGCGATTTACTATGCAGGTCCCAGACATGTGATTTTGTTGAGAACGGCTTATGTCATGAAAGCCCACGTTGGGTTTCACTTCTCGTAGCTGAAATTTTCTACCCTGACGCTGTAGTA